GCCTGCTGCTGGGCGGCGCCCTCGGCGCCTTGGGGCTGTTGCGGCCCTAGGCCCGGCTGGGCTCGGGGTCCAGATCCGGCCCCCAGCCCGCGCCGTCCCGCAGGCCCCTGGGGCCCACCCCAGAAGCCGCCCAGCGCTGAACGCCCCTTCCTCGGCTGCCCACGATCTTCGAGTCCAGAGGGCTGCGTCGGCGATTCCGACCGGTGGCGGGAGCTGCAGTCTCTCCTACTCGTGAACCCGCTGCCCACCGCCCTGTCCAAGCCTGTCCCCCACATGCCCGTCTTCCACCCTACCAGGGGACCAGTGGCCCCACCACCTCCAGGATGTTTGGGTTCCCCCAGCCAGAAAGGCAGGCGGCCTGTGGGTCCTGCACAGTCCCACCACTGCCCTGCACTTTCCAGAGCCCCCAAAGGGAGGTGCCAAAAGCCGGCGACCCTGCTACTCCTGCTCCCTGCCCGCCCACGGACAGTGCTGACCACCAGGCAGAGGCAACCCTCAGGCTGGGCTGGTTCTGCCGCTGAGGCCCTGAGGACCACGGTGCCTCCCCTACAGAAGCAGCCAGATCGGACCAAATGAATTCAGGATTTGGAGGGAAGGAGAGGGGAGGTTTGCTCAGGCTGTGGTATGGAAAATGTCAGGTGCTGACCACCTGCCTACAAGAGCGGGCCCTGTGGATCTCAGGAACACTCCTGAGCAGGAAAGCCAACCATCCCAGGAACACCTGTGTGGTTCCCTGTGGTTCCTAGAAGGCCTTCCCCCTACTCTCAGGCAGACTCCAGCAAGACCCACTGCCAGGGAAGGTTCTTCTGTCCCTTGGAGCCACTTTGCTCCAACAACTTGAAACAAGTCACTTAACTCTTGTGACTCATTTTGGGGAGAAAAACATATTCAAGAGATTTCCATTTCCCTTGAACTTAGGTTTACATATGGGGATCACAGTTCTCGCCTGTACTTCGGGACAGCAACTGCCAATCCCACTAAAGAGCCTTCCGCAGACACAGACCAAGCTGCATGGCTTCCAGACTCCCCAGCAGGCAGCCCCTTCCTCGGAAGCAGCTGGACCAGGCCCAGGCAGGGGCCTAGGTGAGGGCATGGTGTGAAGGGCAGGTGACAACCTGCTCAGCAGAGGAGGACAGGAGCTCAAGTCAAACCCAGAGACCAACCGTGGCCACCAGCAAGTCCTTGGAGGAGGCTGGCTGGAGCAGGGGGCCCAGCACCTAGCAGACACAGCCAGATGTCAGACGGGTCTCGGCGCAAATGCAGAAAGTCTGTGCACGGGAAGGCTGAGCTCCCCCCCAACACAACAAAGGAAGTCTGACTATCCAAGGACACTCTGAGAACAGGCTAGACACCCAGAGTGGCCTCAAGGAAATGCTGGGCAGCCCCTTCCAAGGTCTTGCCTTGGCACCTCGACACCTCTGTGGGTAAGACTGGCCCTTTTGTGGAGCCCACCAGCACAGTGCCCACAAGCTTGGCCCTGAGGGGTCTCAGCTCTGCCAAGCTCTCTAGCTCTAATCATCCAATTCGTCCCGAGGTAGGATGGGTCCTCCCAGGGCCCTGGTGCCCTGTAGCCTTGGGCCCTCACACCCTCACTGCCCTGGTGAAAGTCTCACCTACAGCTGGGCTGCTCCTGCAACCCACCCTTACTCCTTGGACCTCTGAGCCTTTGGACTCAGTTGGTGGCACCAATGCCGAGACCAGCACCTCCCAGGGGGCCCTGCCAGCCTCTGCCCTCCCCACTGACACAACTCTGGCTGGGGTGAGGGCCTAGAAGTTATCAGCAGGACCTGGACAAGCGTTCTCTTCCACATACAGGGCACTAAGCAGCAGGAGGCAGCCCCCGCAGCCTCTCCCCTCCTCACTGCCAGTGCCCCTGGGGCACAGCGAGCCCAGATGCTCCCATCCCTTTCAGACCAAGCTGGATGCCACCAAAGACCAGCAAGCCAAGGCCAAGCCCACCTGGGGGCTTCAACGGCAGATGAGACCCCTCTGCCATTTTCCTCACTGATGGCAAGAGTTTGAGTCTCTTTGCAAGGGCAGGGAGACCCACTGAGCCCCCTTGGCCCCTCAGACACCCACCACAGATGGGCTGGCCTGGACCAGACTCTCCCACACTACACAGCACCGTAAGATAATGGAATGTTCCAGATGCAATGGAACCATTACACTCTTCAGTGTCAGTTTATTTAGACCACCAACCTGTCTTCAGGAGTACAGCCACAAATCCCTGGATACTTCCCACCCCGGGCGGTCAGGGCTCCAGCAGGAAGCAGACGGTGGGTGCTCAGGGGAGTGATTTCAGGAGGTTAATGAGGTGCAGGATGTGGGAAGCCACCCTGGGCAGCCCATCTCAAGGGGCCCACAAAAGAAGCCACTCCCGAGGAGGCAGGGCTCCCACAGCAAGGAAAGGGCCTGACAGGCATGAGACAAGGAGCTGCTGACCAGGTCTGTCCTCCCCTGACCCAGGAGCACCACCTTAATCTGTACCTCCACCAATTCCACCCCGCCTTCCGTCTCCTCTTCTAGAATGCAGGCCAGTGGCCTTCAGGTGCATCCATAACAACGCGGGGAGGAGCCCTCCACACCTCTCTTGGCCCCACTAAAGCAGAGGCCCACCATCCTGCTAGCTAAAAGGTGCTAGGAGGCCTGCGGTCTCCGCTACCCTCAATGGGCGACCCTCAGTCTGCACACAGCACAGCTAAGAGAGGGCAGCATCCAAGGAACAGGCCCAGCACTGAGGGGAGAGGCAGTCCCAGAGTGTCACTAGCCAGAACCTCTGTCCATGTTTGTATGCACATTTTATGATGTGTGAAATAAACACCTCTGCTACAGTGAGACTCTTCCTGATTGCAGGGCTGCAGGGCTCTGTGCCAAGAACCTGACACAGGAGCCCAGTTCCTAACCTGCTTGCTTCCTACTGAGCAGGATTTAACAGGTGGACCCAAGGTATCATGGGTTAGGGTTAGGGTTAGGGTTAGGGTTCAGCAGGCCAACAAGAGACCAGCCTTTCAACTTGAGATTTTAAAAAATTAACAGATTTTAGCTTTAACTCCTGAGACGTCAACCTTAAGGACATCCACCCCCACTGACACAGGCCTCTGCAATGGGAGCTGGCCAGGCTGTGGTGGGTAGGAAACCATGGTGTCCCTCACTGGAGAGGGAACTGTTGTAGTGACTGGCATGGAGTTCCTGGTGGGCAGTACCAAGTCCCAGACACCTAGCCATGGCAGGTCTGGGAGGCTACACACCTCCAGTGCACTCATTGCCTGGCCAGTTCAGGAGTTTGCCTTGGCAGAGGGGTGGCCCTGCAGGATGTCATGATCCAGCATTACTGGGCCCAGCAGTCCACTGCGGAAGGTCCGGAGGAAGTCTTGGGCTGCTGCAGGGTAGTTGGGCTGGATGACATTCACGTCACCTGGGGGATAGGAGGGTCTAGTGAGGAAGGAGCCTCTCCAGCCCCCACCCACCAGAGGGACTGGCCCTGCAAGACCTCAGGTGGGCATCAGTGAAGCCCAGGGCACGTTCAGGAAGAAAACAGAGCTCCGCCACGTTGCCCAGAGCTCCGCCACATTGCCCAGAGCTCCTGAGGTTAGAAGGGTGAGGTCTGCAGGTGTCTACCCAGCACCACCCAGGTCTTGGGGGCAGGGACAGTCTCATCCTCTGAAGCCTGAACTACGAGCTCCTTCCTCTCTAGAACCTTCTGTAGCTCCCCAGCCCCAAGCCCCATTCCCAAGAGAGCCATCCCTGTGCTGTTCCCAATGTTGCTTCCTCCCCTCCCTCCTCTGGGGATGGCCAGGGATCCCCCTCCCACCCAGTGAGGGGTGAGGGCTCCTGTATGGGGCCATGTGGCCTCACCCACCTGTGCCTGTGAGCACCTTCACCTTCTGTGTCTTGCCCAACTTGATGGCCACATGCTTCAGCACGTGCTCGATGTCGTCACAAGCACCGCCCAGGCCGTAGTGCTGCACGTACCTGCACACAGGCTACCAGTTAGTGCCGCCAGGCCCAGCACCCGTGCTGCCCTGAGGGTTCAGGTACTCCCCTCCTCCTGAAGGCCGCGTGGCTCAACAAATGACAGCCAGGCATCTCCTGTAAGTGACGGTGACCATGGTGCGGTGTGGGCCCCACAGAGGAGCCACAGTTACCACAGTCTCCAACCTCTGTTCTGTGTAACCATAGCCAGCTGCATGGAGAGCAGCTCCCACTTCCAGAGCCCTGGGCTGCAGCAGGCAGAACTACAGCTGTGCAGGGCAGTGCCTCATCCACTACCCAAGAGCAGGGCTGCACAGGTCTGTGTATAGCCCAGGCTAGAGACCAGGAAGGGCAACATGGCAGACACCGCAGCACGTGGCCTGCTGCTTAGGATGGCATGCGGCAACTCCCAGGCAGCAGGACCAGCTGGCATGCTCCCCACCAGCTGGAGGAGGGACAGTCAGGCCAGCATCACAAGCGATTCTCACAGGCGCCCTGCCTGCTCCCAACACAGGGTCTGGGCAGACTGGCCTGAAGGGACTAAAGGCAACACACGCTTATCTGCAAGCACCAACCTGAGCCTCGGGAGGCAGGAGACCAACCCAGACCCAATGTTCTCACGCCCTTCCTGACAGGCAGAGGGGTGAGGGGCACCTGCCTCGCAGCTGTCACAGAGGAAGGCTCAGCCTTGAGGAGGGCAGTGTGCCTGGACCTGGTGGCATGGCACGACCTGCCCTTCCTGACAGGCAGAGGGGTGAGGGGCACCTGCCTCGCAGCTGCCACAGAGGAAGGCTCAGCCTTGAGGAGGGCAGTGTGCCTGGACCTGGTGGCATGGCACGACCTGGTTATGCCGCAAGCTTCTGGGAGGTGCCAAGCCCAAGTTCCAGATCAGCAGCCCCAGGGTCCCTGTCCTGGCGCTCTCGAGAGGCCATCCTAGGAGAGGAGCAGGCCTAGGGGAGACCCACTGGCCACTCCCCAGACCTGCCAACTACAAGAATTCCTGAAAGGACTAGACTGTTTTCATATAACTTAACCATCCCAGAACAAAGCTCAAGAATTTTTATAAGAATACAGATATCTATCACCTAACTAAATAAAACTCAAAATGTCTGGCATCCAATCAAAAATTTCCATGCCTGCAAAGCAGGAATATTGACCCATGAGGAGAAGAAAAATGAACCAACTGAAATTGACTCTGAACTGATCCCAATGTTAGAATTATTGAAGACATTAAATCAGTTGTTATAATCACATCCCACGTGGCTATAAAGTTAAGTAGAGACAAAGAAGATATTAGAAATGATCCAAATCGAACTTCTAGAGATGAAAACTATGGAAAACACCCTAGATGGACTTAACAGCAGATGAGATGCTGCAGAAGAAACTCCAAAACAGCAGCAGAGCCCGAGTGCCTTGCACTGCAAGACTAGGCCTGTGAAGCTGAGTTCCTGAGGGACAGAAGAGACAGGAAAACAGCTGAAGAAACAGTGCTTCAAAAGTATCCAATTTGATGAAAACTACAAAGCCACAGATCCAAGAAGCTCAACTATCTACAAGCACAAGAAACATGAAGAAAACCACATGGGGCCACCGTCACCAAACTGCTCAAAATCAGATACAGAGGAAAACAGAGACAAACAAGAGAGCAGATTCTCACCAGAAACAGCACAAGTGAGGAAGGGACAGCAACGTCTTTCAAATACTGAAAACACAGGGGAAGTACCTTCCAAAACAGAGGTGAAATAATGACACCTTCAGACAACCAAAATCTGAAAGAATTCGTCACCAGCAGACCTGTACCGCCATAAACACTGAAGGAAATCCTCCAGGCAGAAGTGACACCAGGTGGACAGCTGGGTCTGCACAAGAAATGAGGAGCACCGTTCGGTCACATGAGGGGCAAATATGTAAGATCTTTTTCCCATACTTTAAATCTCTTTGAAATATAATTATGTAAACAAAAAGTAGTAACAGTGTATCTTGGGTTTATAAAATACTTAAAGGTAAAACATATGATGACAACAGCACAAAGGTCAGGATGAGAAAAATGGAATATACTACTATAAGGTTATCAACTGAAAGCAACCTCCCCAAAAATGCTACAGGTGGTGGGCTAACACACAATGTGGAATCATTTAAATATATTTAATCCTAAAAAAGGCAAGAGAAAGAGAGAGAGGAAAAAAGAAACAAAGAAGAGATGGGACAAATGAAAAAAACAGCAAGATGATAAATTTAAACCTAACATATCAATAATCACATTAAATGTAAATGGTCTAAACACCTAAAACAAAAGACAGAGACTGGCAAATTAGCTAAAAAGCAAGACCCAACTATATGCATTCTATAAGAAACACATTTAAACATAAAGACATAAATATGCTAAAAGTAAAAGGACAGAAAAAGAGATACGATTTTAACACTACTTCTTCTAAAGGAGTTGGTGTGGCTATATTAATATTAATATCACACAAGGTAGACTTCAGAGCAGAGAATATTCTGAAGGATGAAGGTCACTTCATAATTATAAAAGAATCAAATCATCAAGAGGACATAATCTAGGTGTTTCTACAGAACAACAGAGCTTCAAAATACATGAAGTGAAACTGACAGAACTGCAGGGAGAAATGGACAAATCCAGTAATAGTTGGAGATTTCAATACCCCTTCTCAATAATTGATAGTACAAATAGAATGAAATCCAGCAAAGTAGAAATAAGAAAATAATAAAAATCAAAGAGAAATCCAGCACGATAAGAAAAAGACAATAAAAGTCAATGAAACCAAAAGTGAATTCTTTGGGGAAAATCAATAAAATTAATAAACCTCTAGCCAGAATGATATCCTAAACCTGATAAAAGCCATCTATGAAACACTCATACCTAACATCATACTGAATTGTGAGAGACTAAAAACTTTCCACCTAAGATCAGAAACAAGACAAGGTTATCTGTTCTCAACACTTCCATTCACCACTGTATTGGAGATTCTAGCCAGAGCAATAAGGAAGAAAAAGAAGTGAAAGGCATCCAATCTAGAAAGGAAAAAGTTAAAACTACCTTTATTTGCAACTGACATGATCATCTAGGTAGAAAATCTAATGGGATCTATGAGAATAAATGAGTTTAGCAAGGCTGCAGGATACAAGACCAAATTACAAAAATCAATTATATTTCTATATACTAGCAACAAACAATCAAAAGTTAAATTATAAATAATGCCAGTTATAACAGCATCAAAAATATGAAAGAGTTAAATAAAATCTTACAAAAAAATGTAAAAGACCCGTACACTGAAAACTACAAAACACTGCAAAGGAAAACAAAGACCTGAATAAATGGTGACATACACTGTATCCATGGGTCAGAGACTCAGTAATGTTATGATGTTGTCAATTCTCCCCCAAGCTGACCTAAAAATTCAATAGACTCTGCCCTCCCCACAAGAAAAGCAGGGATTTTTACAGAAACTGACAAACTGATTGTAAAATTAGTATGAGAATGCAAAGGACCTAGATTAGCCAAAGCAAATTTGAAAAGGAACAGTGATGTTGGGGGACTAATACTACCTGATTTCAAGTCTTATATTAAAGGTACAGTTATCACGACAGTCAAATAGATCAACAGAACAGAAGAGAGTCCACAAATAGACCCCACATATATAGACAACTGATTTTCAACAAAGATGCAGAGACAATTCAGTGGAGAAAAGACAGTCTTCTCCACAAATATTTCTGGAACAACTGATTATCCATGTGCAAAAAAAAAAGGAACTTCAATCCATAGCTTGCACCATATAACAACAACAAAAAAAATCAAAAGGGATCATAGACCTCATAGACCTTAATGCAAAACCTAAAACTATCAACCTTCAAGAGGAAAACAAAGTGGGTGTGCAAAAAAAAAAGGAACTTCAATCCATAGCTTGCACCATATAACAACAACAAAAAAAATCAAAAGGGATCACAGACCTCATAGACCTTAATGCAAAACCTAAAACTATCAACCTTCAAGAGGAAAACAAAGTGGAAAACCATGTGACCTTGGTTTAGGCAAAGATTTCATACATGTGACAATGCACTATCTATAAAAGATCTGGTTGATAAACTGGACTTCATGAAAATTAGAAAGTTCTGTTCCTCAAAAGACAGTTAAAAGGATGAAAAGACAAGGCACAGACTTAGAGAAAGTATTTACAAGCCATATCTCTGATTAAGGACTTGCATCCAGAATACACAAAGAACTCCTACAAATTAATAATTAAGAAGCAACTCAATTTTAAAAGTGAGGAAAATATTTTAACAGACATTTCCCCATAGAAGATATATGGATGGCAAATAACCCCATGGAAAGATGCTCCATGTCATTTGTTATTAGGGAAATGCAAATTAAAACCCCGTACACCACCACTATACACCCATCACACAGGCTAAAATTAAAAGGCTGACCACAGCAAGTGTTGCTGGGGATGTGGAGGAGCTAGAACTCTCATTTCCTGCTGGTGGGTATAAAAAATAGTACAGGGGCCGGCCGGGTGGCGCACTGCTACAGTGCGCCTCTTGGGGGCGTGGCGGCGCTCCTGCCGAGGGTTCGGATCCCACATACAGACCGGTTCCCGCTCACTGGCTGAGCGAGGTGCGGGCGCAGCACTGAG